GAGCCACAAATAATATACAGGCTGGGCGCAGTGGCTCACGCCTATAATCCCAGCACTTTGGGAGGTTGATGTGGGAAGACTGCTTGAGCCCAGGAGTTTGAGACCAGTCTAGGCAACATAGCAATCCTCATCTATAAAAAAAAAAATCAAGAGTCTGTGGCAGAAGGATCGCCTGAGCCTAGGAGTTGGAGGCTGCAGTGAGCTGTGATGGTGCCGCTGCACTCCAGCCTGGATAACAGAGCAAGATACTGTTTAAAAAAAAAATTAAAAAGAATATACATGTATAGAGCCTGAATATATGGGATGGACTAGATGGACGCTCCAGGCCCCTTCCCAATTCCTTGTCCTGAGCATCTATTTATCTGGTGTTCATCAGTATCTTTCATAATATCCTTTGTGATAAACCAGTAAATATAAGTACAGTCATGTTTTGTTTAATGACAAAAATACATTTTTTTTTTTTTTGAGTTGGAGTCTCACTCTGTCACCCAGGCTGGGGTGCAGTGGCACACTTAACGGCCACCACAGCCTCGACATGCTGGGCTCAGGCAATCCTCCCGCCTCAGCCTTCCAAGTAGCTGGAACTACAGGTACGTGCCACCATACCCGGCAAATTTGGCAAAGACACATGTTGAGCATTACATTGTTAGGCAATTTTGTCATTGTGTGAACATCATAGAGTGTCCATACACAAACTTAAATAGTCTAGCCTACTACACACCCAGGGTACATGGTCTAGCCTATCGCTTCTAGGCTACAAATCTGTACAGCATTTTACTGTGCTGAATACTGCAGGCAGTTGTAACCCCATGGTAAGTACAGTTGACCCTTGAACAACTCAGGGATAAGAAGTGCAACTCTTCCCCTTCCCACAGAGTCAAAAATCCATTTATAACTTTTGATTCCCCCAAAACTCAATAGCCTACTGTTGACCAGAAAGAAGCCTTATCAATAGCATAAACTGTTGATTAACACATAGTTCAGTTGTATTACTACATACTGTACTTAAAATAAAGTTAAAGGAAATGTGAAGAAAATCATAAGGAAAATATATTTACCATACTGTACTGTGTTCATAGATATCATAAGCGTATGTCGCCTGTTTATAATCATCTGTCTGAACTGGTGGCATCTGCAGCTGCAGACCTCAGTCTTCAGTACATACGTATCCAGCAATTAAACTTTTCTGTAATGTCATGACTTGTCTCTGCTTCTTGGAGCATTTCCAGCATCACAAGAGGCGCTTCACACGGGTCCCATGGTGTTAAGTCAAGGTTTGTGGCATTGCACTAAACACAGCAGAAACATACAAGAACTGCGCGAGGCGACTTTTTACTGAGATATGTAGTTTACGGCAGATGATCCTTTCATGTGGACATGATCAGCATAGCAGGGTGTTTTAAATGGATACTTGCAACACCTGAGCCCACTGTGATAGCAGCACGAGGTAGCTATGAAATCATTACAAAAGAACAGTATGTACTGTAGTTAATTTTAGTTATGATTTATTATGACATCTTGACATTTGTTTACATTTCTCCTGACTGTGAAAGGTGCAATGTATGGCCTGTGTAAGTTCTGTTAATTTTTTATACTAGATTTATGTATATTTTATGGTAGCAAATGATAGACTAGTATCTACATTATATTTTATGCATTCATGGTGTACCTTTTTTTTTAAAGTTTTTGATATTCCTAGTTTACATGATTCATGTTTTTTCAAATTGTTGCAAATCTCCAAATAATTTCTAATATATTTATTTAAAAACATCCATGCATAAGCAGACCCATACAGTTCAAATCCATGTTCAAGGGGCAACTATATTTGCGTATTAAGATACATGTGAACAATGGAAGGGTACAATAAGAATATAGTATTACGATCAGATGGGACCACATGGTATATGTGTCCAACACTGTAATGTCATAATGTGGGGTATGACTGTATAGTATTTCCCTGAGTTTTGTGAGCCCCTCTAGCAAATTAATTGAACCCGAGGAGGGGGTTATGCAACCTGCAACTTATAGCTTGTTGGTCACAAACACAGATAAAACAACCTGGAGCTTGCAACTGGCATGTGAAATGGAGGCCATCTTGTGGGACTGCGCCCTTCACCTGCAGAATCTTTCGCTATCTCCACGTAGTATCAGAATTAGAGGACATCGCCGGGCTCGGTGGCTCAGCCTGTAATCCGGCACCTTGGGAGGCTGAGGTGAGTGAATTGCCTGAGCCTGTGGGTTCGAGACCCGCCTGGGCAACTTGGCGAGACCTCATCTCTACAATAAATCAAAAAATCAGCCGGGTGTGGTAGCGCGCCTGTAGTTCCAGCTACTTGGAAGACTGAGGCAGAAGGATCGCCGGAGCCCAGCAGGTGGAGGCTGCAGTAGCTGGGAGCGGCCACTGCACTCCAGTCTGGGCGACAGAGTGAGACTCGAAGTCAAGAAAAAAAAAAAAATTAGAGGACATCCAGCTGGTGTCTGCTGCAGAATGGCTTGTGTGCATACTGATAGCAGACAGGTGTTGCTAGAGTCTAGAGGAAAAAGTTTGTTTATTCCTGTATTCAGAATGGGGTTCTAGAGAACATCTTAAGTCGTTAAGAATAGATGTTCTGGCTGGGCTTGGTGGCTCAGCCTGTAATCCGGCGCTTTGGGAGGCTGAGGTGAGTGGATTGCCTGAGCCCGCGGGTTTGTGACCCTCACGGGCAACTTGGGGAGACCTCATCTCTACAATAAATCAAAAAATTAGCCAGGCGTGGTAGCGTGTGCCTGTAGTTCCAGCTACTTGGAAGGCTGAGGCGGAAGGATCGCCTGAGCCCAGCAGATCAAGGCTGCGGTGGCCGGGAGCGGCCACTGCACTCCAGCCTGGTTGACAGAATGAGACTCCAACTCAAAAAAAAAAAAAAAAGAATAGATGTTCTAAAGCCAGACTGCATGGGTTCATATCTCTGTTCCACCACTTTGAGTGTCACTTTACCTCTCTGTGCTTCAATTTTCTGCCTATTAAATTGGGATAATACCACCTCACAGGGTGATCGTGATAGTTGTATCAGTTAATCAATACACATAAAGCATTTAGGACAGTGTTTGGAGCGTTCATAAGCACTCAATAGCTGACATAAAGTAGAAGAGGGTGAGGAACAGCTTTTAACTTATATTCAATTATATATATATGACCTTTATATGGATCTTTTCCGTATTTGTTGTAGGCAAAATAAGAGGAAGTCAATTTAAACTATAAAAAATTGACAGTAGATAAAAAATTTCCTATTAAAAATGCAAATCATAGCTGGGTGCGGTGGCTCACACCTGTAATCCCAGCAATTTGGGAGGCTGAATTGAGAGGACTACCACTTAGGGTTTGAGTCTAGGCAACTTAGTGAGACCTCATCTCTACAATAAATCAAAAAAATTAGCCAGGTATGGTGGTATGCACCTATGGTTCCATTTATTTGGAAGGCTGAGGCGGAAGGATTGCCTGAGCCCAGCAGGTCGAGGCTGTGGTGGCTGTGAGCATGCCACTGCCCTCCAGCCTGGGCAACAGAGTGAGACTCCGACTCAAAAAAAAAAGGCAAATCATGACTATGGGGCTACATAGCATGTAACTGAGTTTAGCCTAAGAATGGTATTTTCTAAAAGGAGGACAAAAGTTCTAAAAAAAAAAAAATCAAGTTTGAATCTAGTACACGGTCATCTACCACCTCACTTGCCCAAGAGACAGTCCGAAAACTAAAAAAACTTGGTGTTCTACTGAGGGACTTACAACAAATTAACAATAGCTGATGTCTATTACAATAGGACCTGAAGGGTTCCTTTCTCAGTACAGAGAAAACAGAACCAATGGGGAAAACTGCTTGTTTACACTGCCAACAAAGCTACTTCCTCTAGACTCAAGATCATAGGGAACCTGGATTTTATTTCTTTAACTTAGTTTTGAAATATATAAACCCTTCCATCTCTAAGTTACAGTTCTCTTCATCAAATGAAAATGTTTACTTCCGATCTTTGTTTTGAGGATTAGAGGTTTTAAACTTCCTTAAAGATAATATTAAAAAGTCATTAATCGAACAGAAGCAAATTAAGTTTCTAGAAGTTTTAAGACTGGTACTGCATATGGTTTCCTCTGAGTCATTGTTGTCACCCAAAGTTACAATGTGCTCATATTTCTAGAGACCCTAATTCTATTTTCAAGCTGACTACAATTTCCCTTCTACAAGGATTACAATAACATGAATATAAAATAGAATGTTTTAGGCAGCAATTATCTAAAATATGGATGCTCTTAAGGATGCATTCTTAAAATTGGTGGGGCAAAAAAAAAAAAAGTTTTGTATAAAGCACAAAAATATATTCAATCCACAAAGAGATATATAGTAGGGCAACCCCCTTAGGTCCTCTCCTACTCTGGGAGCTTTTCTGTCCTCTCAATAAATCCTGCTTTCTCAATAACAACAAAAAAAGAGATATATAGTATATGGTTGGAATTAAAATTTCACGAGAAGGTGATTAGAAAAAATATTTAAAAAGTCTCATTAGGAAGGTGACAAAGAAAAGCTACTGTGAGGATTAATTTGCTAAGTCAGAAATACCTAAATTAACTACTTTTTTCTTTTGAGTTGGAGTCTCACTCTTATCACCCAGGCTGGAGTGCAGTGGCACGCTCACGCAGCCTCAACCTTCCTCAGCCTTCCAAGTAGCTGGAACTTCAGATGCACGTCACGCCTGGCAGTTTTTGTGATTTATTGTAGAGACGAGGTCTCACCAAGTTGTCCAGGCTGGTTTCAAACTCCAGGGCTCAGGTAACTACATTTTTAATAGTTCAGAATCCCTGGGTCAAACAGAAAATCATGGCTATTTGCATTTCTAACCAACGTTCTTGTGAACGGGTACAATTCTATGGCCTTTGTTTCTCCTAGGCAAAGTCACTAAAATTATTCCAGTGTAAGGAAAACACTTGGATTAATTTTTAAAAGAAGAATTATAAGTCATTAAGTTTATAACACAGAGTACAAACCAAGAAAGTACATTTATTTAAATTACTAAAATAGCTTTTAAAGTCATTTACAGACCAGTTGCTACAATTATTTTTCCTGAAAGATATAAGTAACATATTAACCACTTTAACATTATTTGGGTCAGTGAAACATTTAATATAAACTTTTTTCTCCATATAATATGTATGTATAAAATAAGCCTTTTCAAAAACTTGTTTTATAATCCTCTATAATTAAATCAGATTATTGACTTCTGATAGTCAGGAACAAATTACAATAAGGGGTATAAATGTATGAATACTGGCAGTCCTAGTGGAAAGAAATTAGACCACCTTCTCCTACCAGTTGTGGGACCCTCAAGGGGTAAATGATGAAGTCAAGACTGATTATAAAACAATATTTTCATTTCAAGGTTTGTGGAGAGCAAACAAGGTGGATTTAGAATTTTAAGATTTTTAAGAAAACCAAAGCAGCTGACAGACGAGAAAACTCAGTTATAGAAGCAAAGTTAAAACTAAAACACTATAGTAGTACAGAAATATATTTAACACCCTTCATGTGGTAAAGTTCATTCTCTTAGCTTGAGGCACTCAATACAATTTATTGTGTGCATAGTAAATCTTTATATGTTATGGAGTGTCATTAAATGACTTAGACTGTAACAAGTAGACACGCAAAAAATTAAATCTTTCTTTAATAGCACACAATAGGTGGTTAACAAATGGTTCACCAATTCCTAAAACCGTATTTCTTCCTTCAAAACAAAAGTTTCAGGATATGTCCAAAATAAACTGCTCTGAATTTGCCTACCCTTAAGAGTCAAGTGAACAAATACGTTAAACCTCATGATACACATGCTTTAGAAATCCTTGGGAAGATCAAGAATTTCGTCAAGCTTAAAAAAAAAAAGAAATATAAAAAACAAATCCCAACAGAATTCACTGAGATAACAGTTCATGTACCTGTTTGACTACGTACATCTCAATGGCTTATTGTTACATTTCATCTTGAAGAGCATTTTTTTTCTCCTTCACCTTCCCCATTACACAAATTTTTTTTCTCTTTACCCTCCAAAAAAAAAAAAAAATCCAAGACACATACTGAGATGACCTTTCATTACTTCTGTTCCTTTAGGCAGAAGGTGACTAACCACTCATACCTAACTGGTATAAAAGGGAAAATTATGGAAAAATCCATGGTTACATTTAAGGAGCTATCTTACTAATAATGCAACAAACTTTGTGAAAAATCTAAATTAACAAATCGGGAAGATTCTTAAGAAAGGATCTTTCACTGGTCACACCATAAGAGTAATAATTTCAGCTCAGAATCAAAATCGATTCCCTATGGAGCTACGTGTAATTTACACTCCTAAGGTATCCTTAACATAGCTCTCAACAAACGATTCTTTCTCTCATAGAATAGAAATAATTAGGCTGAATAAGTAATTTAGATGTTTCATGTTTATATAAGAACTTAACTTCCTTTAAAAAGAAACCAGTTCTTCCAAAAAGAGCTCTGAATCTTGTCTCTGGTTAGAAAGTCTGAAAAATTCTCAGAACTTGAGACATGATCTTCTCTTCTTTCACCTCTTATAAGCAGATGCCCCCTTTGAGGGCATTTTCAGGTTGCACAGGCAGGACTAAGTGAGAAATACGGCTCCAGAGGCCATTCAACTTGTCTGAGTCCATATGATCATAGGAGTTGGGTGTGTTAGAGTTGGTGAACTTGACTTTGAGGAAGTCCCTCACTTTTTCTTCAATTTCCTTTAGGCCAAGACTGGTTCCCAGTGTCTCTTCCTCTAATAAGACAGTAAGGACTAAGGCTACATCTTTGAAGGCTGCGTTTTCATGGTCACAATATTTATAGAAGATCAAAGCAGAGCCTGCAGGCAGTGACTCGAAACGGTGCACCACAGCTGCGTTCTGGCCATTTTTGAATCCATTGCTCAGTTCCTGGTCGACTTCTAGTTTGACAGTATCGCTGTCTTGAGCAGCTTTGTCTGCTCCATCAATCCGGATGGCAGGAACACTCCGGAAGGAAGAATACGCATCAGCAATTTGTTCACTCAGACACCTAAGTGCTTCTTCAGCATCACGGGCAGCAGTGAGCAGCAAGATAGCAGGCTGAGGCCGAGGATGGGAACTATTAAGGTGTTTTTCCAGTAATGTCACACTCCTTCTCCACAGCTTCTCATCTTGACCTTGGTACTTAATCATAAGTTTTTTCATCTGGTGCTGGAACTCTTGAACAGCCATGGTTTCTACCTCAGAAGTGGGAAAGATCCAAAAACTCACAGAGGCAAGAAGAGGTATCAGGAAAAGTAGCCACCACCAATTCATCTTGACTAAAGATGCATTTCTGGGTTGTCCAGTCACTTCTGCTCAGAAAAAAAAGAAATGACAGATATAAATACCATTTTCCTAGCTGCAAGGGCAAGTGAATTTTAAAATCAATATTAATCACACATTTAAAAGAGGAAAGACTTAAAGAAAATCTCATACCGGTAGGCATTGAGTTACTAATTGTTGGAAGAGAAACTGTATTAAAAGACACTTAATAAAATATTTTTTAACTTAGAAACTCAGCAATTCGCATGGCTAATTATCCAAGGTAGAATAATTCTAAAGTATACAAAGGAATACAGGAAATAAGGCAATATAAGTGAACATCTTCCATCTATTATAATAGCTAGCTGTCCCTTTAGATTAACTGCACTGATACATATCTTTTCGTGGTATACAAGTGAACACTGGTAAAATTTAGTTTGTAACTCACCCTTAATTATCATTGGCAATAATGATAATATCAATTTACATTTATCTAGTGCTTTTCAGCTTATAAAGCAGTTTCTCATATTCTACTTCATTTAATCAGTTAATAATATGGTTGGGCATGCTGGCTCATGCCTGTAATCCCAGTACTTTGGGACGCGAAGGCGAGAGACCTGCCTGAGCCCAAGGGTTCAAGACCAGCCTGAGCAACTAGGTGGTGAGACCTCATCTCTACAATAAAATAAAATGAAGTTAGCTGGGTTTGGTGGCACATGCCTGTAGTTCCAGCTATCCGGAAGGCTGAGGCAAAGGATTGCCTGAGTAGCTGTGAGTGTGCTACTGCCCCCCAGCATGGGCAACAGTGCTCCAATTCAGCAAAATAACAATATAATAGTGGCAATAACAATTTTACACCTTTATTTATTGACTGACTGCTTTAGGCTAATAATTGCATTAGGGACCTTATATAGAAGCAGTTCTCAAAGTGTAGTCTATAGGAGTACCTCAAGAACCTATTTTAGTGGGTCTATGAGATTAAAGTTATTCTAGTAACACTAAGATGTTATTTGACTTTTTCCATAGTGCTGACATTTGCACTGATAGTGCAAAAGCAATGGTGGAAAAACTCCTGATACTTTAGCAAGATCACAGAGAAGTGGCACCAGCTGCTCTAGGACAGTCATTGTATTTTTCACTGCCATGCATTCAAGATGAAAAGGGGGGGGGAGTTTCACTTAAGAATGTCCTTCATGAAGCAAAAAAGTGATTTATCTTATCAAATATCAGTCCTTGCATACATATTTTCTCAATATTCCATGTGAAGATATAGGAAGTTTACATAAAGCACTTCTGCCACATAGCACAGTACAATGGTTGTCTCAAGGAAAATAACTTTGTGCAAGTGAGTTGCTGAGTTAGCACTTTTTGAATGGAATACATACCATTTTTTACTTGACAGAACAAGTAACAAACCATAGTTAGTCAGACTTGTGTATTTGGTATACATTTTCGACCAAATTTCCCTAGAAGCCTGTTACTTCTAGAAAAACAACTGACAATATTTGTTGTCAATTATAAAATTCAAGTTTTCAAGTGAAAATTAGAATTTTAGGACTGAGCACAGTGGCTTATGCCTGTAATCCTAGCACTCGGAGAGGCTGAGGAGGGAGGATTGTTAGAGACCAGGACTTTTAAGTTGCAGCGACCTATGATCACGCCACTGCGCTCCAGCCTGGGCAACAGAGACTCTGTCTCTTAATAAATATATATGTGTGTATATACAAATATATGTATATTTTTAAATTTAAAAAATTAAAGAAAAAATAAAATTAGGATTTTAGAAATATATATGCCACCATGAACTTGACAGCTCCCAATACTGTATTGTAATTAAAGCCTTTTTTTTTTGAGACAGGGTCTCTAACACTAGGCTGGAATGTAGTGGCATGAACATAGCTCACTGCAGTCTCAAACTCCTGAGCTCAAGCAATCCTCCTGCCTCAGCCTCCTGAGTAGCTGGAACTACAAGCATGTGCCACCATACCTGAATAATTTTTAAAAATTTTATTGTAGAGACAGGTTCTCACTATGTTGCCCAGGCTGGTCTTGAACTCCTGGTCTCAAGCGATCCTCCCACCTCAGCCTCCCAATGCCCTGGGATTACAGATGTGACCAGCACAGCTGGCCAAAAGACTTTTTTTTTTTTTTGAGTTGGAGTCTCACTATGTTGCCCAGACTGGAGTGCAGTGGCCGCTTCCGGCCACTGCAGCCTTGACTTGCTGGGCTCCGGCGATCCTTCTGCCTCAGTCTTCCGAGTAGCTGGAATTACAGGCACGCACTACCACGCCCGGCTGATTTTTTGATTTATTGTAGAGCTGAGGCCTCGCCAAGTTGCCCAGGAGGGTCTCGAACGCGTGGGCTCAGGCAATCCACTCACCTCAGCCTCCCAAAGCATGAGATTACAGGCTGAGCCACCGAGCCTGGCCAAAAGACTTTTTAAAAAGTTTTTAAGAGTTAAAAAATGGGATCTTTTATATTATATTACAAATTGTGTCAATATTTGGAAGAGCTGCATATCTTAGTGAACCAATACTTTGAAATGACCAATGTATGATACTCCATTCAAAGTATTAATACAAGGCCAATGGATTTTAATGTAATAGAGTACAGAAAGTTCACTGACATTGATTGAGATTTCAAATAACATTTAAGAAACTACCACTTGTTGAGTTTTGGAGTGCATTAAAAAAAGAATATCCAAAATCATCGAAAAAGGCTATTAAAATTCTTCATATCTGTATGAAGTTAGATTTTCTGCAGATACTTCAACCCAAATAATATACTCTAACAGATTAAATGCAGAAACAGATATGAGAATCCATTTTATTAAGCCAGGCATTAAAGAGATTAGAAAAAATGCAAAGCAATCTATCACTCTTCTTACTAAATTATTTCAAAATAAATAAATATTTTTAAATTGTTCCAACTTTAATTTTCTAGGTAAATATGGATAGGTATAACTCATATGAAATTTGCTAGTCGGGTGTGGTGGCTCAAGTCTGTTATCCCAGCACTTTGGGAGGCTGAGGAGAGAGGACTGCCTGAGTCCAGGGGTTAGAGACCAGCCTGGGCAACTTGGTGAGACCTCATCTTTACAATAAATCAAAAACAATCAGCCGGGTGTGGTGGCTCCCACCTGTAGTTTCAACTACTTAGAAGGCTGAGGAGGAAGGATCACCTAAGGCCAGCAGGTTGAGGCTGTGGTGGCTGTGAGTGTGCCATTACACTCTAGCCTGGGCGACAAGAGTGAGACTCCAGCTCAAAAAAAAAAAAAAAAGAAAGAAGGAAATTTGTTCACTGCTATGCGAGATAAATAGTCCAATCTAGTTTGAATATAGGTCTGTGGACTCCAAAACTCATTAGAATTCTTTTTTTTTTTTTTTGCTGCAAAAGGCTTTATTTTTATTTGGCCCAGGGCAGTTAAAAAGCTGCCCAGTGGCTGGAGGGGGAGGTTTAGGCAGAAGAAGCCCTGATACTTTGAGAGGGGGCCCCCCAGAGGCCGCTGGCTCCTAGTCGTGCTTGAGGGTGAGCCTTTCGAAGAGATACTTGCCCAGCCCAGACTCGGGCCTGGCCAGCCTGCGAAGGTTGGTCAGGTGGTCATCCATCTTCTTGATGAGTTTCACCTCCTCATCTAGGAAGGAGTTCTCCAGGAAGTCACAGAGATGGGGGTCTATGGATCCCAGGACATGAAGGTTCAAAAGCGCTTGGTTCAGGATCTTCTCTAAGGCCATGGCAGCTTCCATGGCATCCAGGGTTTTACCCTACTCATCTTGAGAGGGCTTCTGGATATCCTGGAAGAGGGTGTGGCTGCCACGCTGGTTTTGCATCTTCAAGAGACGCTTGGCGCCCTCGCGCTTCTCCTCCGCCCACTCGCGGAAGAAGTGGCCCCGCCTTCCAGAGCCACATCCTCGTGGTCGAAATAGAAGCCCAGAGAGAGGAAGGTGTAGGAGGCCTGCAGATGCAAATTGACCAGGCTGTTGATGGCTGCCTCCACCTCGGTGGAATAATTCTGGCGAACTTGGGAGCTCATGGTTGGTTGGCAACAAGGAGCTAACTGCAAAAATGGTGGTTGCTGGTCCCAGAAACAGGAGGTAGTCAAGAAGGTGGTCTCGGAGGTTGCGAGTGGAGAGGAGATGGGAGGGCAGTGGGTGGCTGGAAGAGAGGGAGTCCCCAGGTCTGTTCCGTCCAAACACTGTTGAAGCAAGAGACAGATCCGGGGGACCACCGAATGTGCTGCTAGATTTCTGTTATATCATGCTATGTACTATCTTTCTTCTAATTCAGCATGATTCCTCCAGTTAACAAGTTAACAGTATTAGTAGCTTTACTTATTAAAATTTACTTTTGGTCTTTTTTTTTTTTTGAATCAGAGTCTTACTCTGTAGCCCAGTCTGGAGTGCAATGGCACGCTGCTCATGGCCACTACAGCCTCTACCTGCTGGGCTCAGGTGATCCTTCTGCCTCAGCCTTCCAAGTAACTGGAACTATGGGCATGTGCCACCATGTTTTTTGATTTATTGTAGAGTTGATGTCTTGCCAAGTTGTCCAGGTTGGGCTCGAACCATGAGCTCAGGCAATCCTCTCACCTCGGTCTCCCAGAGTGCTAGGATTACAGGCATGAGCCACCATGCCCAGCCTTACTTTTGGTCTTAAGGACAATAAGGTGAGGGGGAATACCAGATGTCTCATACAGATTGTCCATAAAGAATTTCACTGCTAGTAAATTTATTTATTTCTTTCTGAGTTGGAGTCTCACTCTCACCCAGACTGGAGTGCAGTGGCATGCTCCCGGCCACTGCAGCCTCGACCTGCTGGGCTCCAGCGATTCTTCCACCTCAGCCTTCCAAGTAGCCGGAACTACAGTACACACTACCACGGAACTACAGTACACAATTTACCACTGGCTAATTTTTTTTGTTTATTGTAGAGACAAGTTTTGTTTATTGTAGAGGCAAGACAAGTCTTGCCAAATTGCCCGGGCTGGTTTCGAACCCGTGGGCTCAGGCAATCCACTCACCTTAGCCTCCCAAAGTGCTGGGATTACAGGCTGCACCACCGAGCCTGGCCAAAATACTTATTTTTCCTCTCCGAAGTGCTTAAGACACGATTTTTCAAATAGCATCAAGTCATACTACTGTCAAGAAACATTACCAAACATTAAAGATCACCAGTTTTAGAGACTCAATAAAAACTGAATAGACAAACTTACGTTGGCTGGAGGTTGCTGAAAACTGGTTTCTAAGATCTGATTTTTGAATGCTGCCATCTAATAATAGGAGAAATACAAAAAGTGTTATCAACTTATGTTTCATACTTTGAGTATTTATTTCAAATAGAGAAAGATACAAATTCCTCCAAGAAAAAAGAAGGCAAAGATCAGTTAAAAGCAGAAGAAAAAGCAGAATATCTGAGAGCCCATTATACCTAAGACCTACTTCTTTCATAGTTCTTTACAGCATGTAGTAGTCTAGCACAAAGCACACACTTATACTTAGTTTTGAGAGATAGCCTTGAAGTATTAGATCCATAATTATTTAATTGGATTGGTAAAATTTCTGGGATTAAGTTAAGAGGACAAAGAAAATAAGCACACCATAATAAAAGGAAATATATTATACCATCTGAAAAACTGCCATATAGAGAACTCTTGCCTGGTGAAGACACTGTAAAGAGGGAGGAAAAAAAGGACAACGTATGGATTATGGCTTACTGGGCTAGCTGGGTAAGGTGTCTTAATATAATACTCACTTGGATCTTCATGTTTTTCTACCTCAAACTGACTGAAATATTTCCTCTGGGGATTCTGATCATTTCAAATATTAGTAATGTTTTAAAACTGACATTAAAATGCTTTCCATCATTTCTGTTAATAGACAAGTAATTATGTAATTCTGTTTTAGGTTTGTGGTTAAACAATGGAGCTCCAAAATAATTTTTTCACAACTCCATCAAATCCCTACTTCCATGATTACTTTAGAAAATAAATGTATAACAATCTTAATTTTTCCCTTTCCCCCTCCATCCTTTTTAGTATGCCCACAGGTTTTAACATGTAAGAGAGAAAATGGAGGGACAGGGGTCAGAAGGTGGAAAGGCAGAGTAAGCTCATCTGTATGACCTACATTTACCTGAATAGCCATCCATCACTTGCCTGGAGTTTAAAATTTTTAAAAAATATATAATTGATCTTTTTGGTGTTTTATTTCTGATATGTTACTTCTACACAACCCTCAAAGCTCAATATAACACCTATATATGGCAGGTGGCCATCAACTAATGTGCAACTATTTAAGCCATATTAAATATAGTAACTTAATAGCTGGGCTCGGTGGCTCAGCCTGTAATCCCGTGCCTTTGGGAGGCTGAGGTGAGTGGATTGCCTGAGCCTGCGGGTTCGAGACCCGCCTGGGCAGCGAGACCTCATCTCTACAATAAATCAAAAAATCAGCCGGCGTGATAGCGCGTGCCTGTAATTCCGGCTACTCAGAAGGCTGAGGCGGAAGGATCCCCGGAGCCCAGCAGGTCGAGGCTGTGGTGGCCCGGAGCGGCCACTGCACTCCAGTCTGGGCGACAGAGTGAGACTCCAACTCAAAAAAAAAAAAATAGTAACTTAAGATAAAGAAAGTAGAAATGCAAACAGATAAAATACTAAAAATTAGCTATCAATTTAGCAACTAAAAAGATTTATCTCTACATTTCAATCAGAGGTCCAATATAATTATTTTTCCTTCTGCACTACAGTGTCCACTTATTATAAGAGGAAATAAAAATTATATAAACATTTTCTGATAACAGTGTGTACTAACTTCACTCACCTGGAAGTCATTTATCTGATATTAATTATTCAGAATATGTAGTTAAAACTAAGAAATGACATAAGTACTTCTTATACTAAAACTCAAGCATTTTTATTTCCAAGAGTATCTCTTCAAATTTAATTTTAATGTTTGATTATGGTTATAAACTTAATTCTAATAAGCTGAATAATTAACATTTGGTTTACTAACTATGACAGGTCAGGAAGAGCAAATTATATGAGGAAGTGTTCTTTTTTTTGTTGTTGTTGGAGTCTCACTCTCTCTCCCAGGCTGGAGTGCAGTGGCATGCACATGGCTACCGCACCCTAGACTTGCTGGACTCAGGCGATCTTCCTGCCTCAGTCTTCCAAGTAGCTGGAACTAAAGGCGTGTGCCACCATGCCCAGATAATTTTTTGACTTATTGTAGAGACAAGCTCTCGCCATATTGTCCAGGCTGGTCTTGAACCCGGGGGCTCAGGCAATCCTCTCACCTCTGCCTCCCAAAGTGCTGGGATTGCAGGCATGAGTCCTGTGCTCAGCTGGAAATGGTCTTTTAATAGCAGGCACACACTCACAGTGATAAGAAATGGCAGTCGACAAAAAAGCAAGGGCCAAAGTGATTTTGTTATAGACAGCTAAAGAGGTCAATTATATGCACGGTAAAACTTCAATGCTGCGAAAAAATAAACTGTGACCACTGCTACTTTACTGATGGAAAAACAGAGCCACAGAGGTTATCTTGGCCAATTACAGAGTTAATCATCTATGAATAAGAGATACATCATGGGGATTTTTACATTATCTAAATAAAAGTAAGGAAATACCTGATGATCTCTAGATATATACTGTGGCTACATAAGAAGGGTTAGAGGTTAAAGGTCATTTAAGGCGGAGACTATATATGAATTTATTATTATTATTTTTTTGAGTTGGAGTCTCACTCTGTCGCCTAGACTGGAGTGCCGTGGCCGCTCCCGGCCACTGCAGCCTCGACCCGCTGGGCTCCGGTGATCCTTCCGCCTCAACCTTCCAAGTAGCTGGAACTACAGGTGCGTGCTACCATGCCTGGCTGATTTTTGGATTTATTGTA